AATTAGCTACATTTGATATATTTAAAATTATCATTTGTACTCTATAAAAATAATTCTAATTTTGTAATATGATGAATATGTTAACATAGTGGGATGAAAGTACATTTATAACTTAGAAAAGATCATGAAAGTCTTAAGGAGCACTACAAGCAATGCATGGACGGCGACCATTTAAAAGTTTCTAGAATCACTCATTATTATTTTACTTAAATCTTTTAGGTGAATATTTTTTTCCTTAAATCTTATCAAAATTAGTGTCGGTCCCATGACTACAAAAAATTTAAAAATAATAACTCTCCCTCAATAATACAATTGGTTAAGATTTTTACATATAATATATAAAATATAAAAGTTAAAAGAATAAAAATAAAAATCCACACACCTCAATCAAATGTGTAGTAAAACGTTGAAAAAAATATAAAAATAAAATAAAATTGCGTGAATTCAAGACGAGTCAAATTGTTTAAAATTTATAAATAAAGTCATTCCATACTTTTAAAAAAAAAAGTATATTCATATTGATATTTTTTTTGGCCAAATATTCATATTGATATTTACTTATGATTTTAAGAACATTTGGCTATAATTAATTTTATAATCTTTAAAAGATTCATTGTTTCAAATTTATTAACAACTAATTATATATTTTTTAAGTAGAGATATTATGCCTAAATACTTTGGAAGCATCCACTAAGGAACACCTAGCACTTGGATTCTTTTTTTTTTTTTTTTTTGCTTTTATATGCTCTAAAAGTTTTATTTCGTGACATTTTCTGTCATGAACTGTTACTTGCCATTAAATTTAACCGTTAAAAATACCAGTCAAATTGCATAATTTAATAGTGGATAATGATCATGGTATTTTTGTTATGAAAATAAACTTTTAGGATATATAAAAATTAAAAAAAAAACTTTCAAATACTGGATACTCTTATATAAACACTTTTATCATGTTTAAACATACTTGCTTTTTTTATTACTAAAAAAAAAAAAGCATACTTGCTTTTTTTTTAGGGAAAAAGATAGAAAAATACCACTTGAACATCATAATCCCCAAATGGTTTGCTGAATTTGAGAAATCTCAATTTGGTCTCAAGAGACCAAATTGGGATTATCATGTTAAAAGAAAAGACCAAACTGCCCTTCATTTATTTATTGTTTTTAAAACACCAAAGCCCTTACTGGCCGGCCGGTCGCCAGAGCTCTGGTGGCGGCAGTCACCAGAGCTCAGGCGACGTGCCGACAATTGGTTACCGGAGCTCGACGGTCGGAAATAATTTTTTTTAAAAATTTTTACAATTTCAATATAACGGTTAACAACATCTGTAACGCTATTAACAATTTCAATATAGCAATTAACAACAGATTTTCTGGGAAATTCAACAAGTTCCGACGGCTAAAAACAATTTTTTTAAAATTTTTTACAACTTCAGTATAATGGTTAACAACTTTATAACGCTATTAACAACTTCAGTATAGCAGTTAACAACAGGTTTTCTGGGAAATTTAACAAACTCTGGTAGCCGGAAACAATTTTTTAAAATTTTTTTACAATTTCAGTATAACGGTTAACAACTTTTGTGATGCTATTAACAACTTCATTATAGCAGTTAATAACAAGTTTTCTGGGAAATTCAACAAGTTTCGGTGGTCGGAAATAATTTTTTTAAAAATTTTTACAACTTCAGTATAACGATTAACAATTTTTGTGACGCTATTAACAACTTCAGTGTACAATTAACAACAGGTTTTTGAGAAAATTCAACAATTGGTCGCTAAAGCTCCGGCGGCTGGAAACAATTTTTTTGAAAATTTTTACAACGTCGGTATAACAGTCAACAACTTTTGTAAAGCTATTAACAATAGGTTTTTCGAGAAATTCAAAAAGTAGCATTTTTACAACTTTAATAATACCGTTAACAAGTTCCGTAACTCTATTAACAACTTTGATATAGCATTTAACAACATGTTTTCTTAAAACTTAAAAAAAAAAAAAGCATTTTTACAACTTTAGCAATTATTATTTTTTTGAAAATTTTTGCAATTTCAGTATAACGGTTAACAACTTTTGTAATGTTATTAACAATCTCAGTATAGCAGTTAACAACAAGTTTTTTGAAAAATTCAAAAAGTAGCATTTTTACTGAAAACCTGTTGTTAACTGCTATATTGGAGTTGTTAATAGCCTTACAAAAGTTGTTAATCGTTATACGGAAGTTGTAAAAAATTTCAAAAAAATTGTTTCCGGCTGCTGGAGCTCCGGTGACCAATTGTTGAATTTTTTGAAAAACCTGTTGTTAATTGCTATACTGAAGTTGTTAATAGCGTCACAAAAGTTGTTAACCGTTATACTGAAGTTGTAAAAATTTTCAAAAAAATTGTTTCCGGCCATCAAAGCTTGTTGAATTTCTCAGAAAACCTGTTGTTAACTGCTATACTGAAGTTGTTAATAGCATCACAAAAGTTGTTAACTGTTATACTGAAGTTGTAAAAATTTTCAAAAAAATTATTTCCGACCGCCGGAACTCCGGTGACCAATAGTCGGCCGGTCGTCGGAGCTCGGTGACTAGCCGGCCAGTGGGGACTTTGGTATTTTAAAAACAATAAATAAATGAAGGGCAATTTGGTCTTTTTTTTTTAACATGATAATCCCAATTTGGTCTATTGAGATCGAATTGGGATTTCTCAAACTCAACAGACTATTTGGAGATTATGAAGTTTAAGTGACATTTTTCTGTCTTTTTTCCTTTTTTTTTTTTTAAGTATTAGACGTCATTTTCCGGAACAATGTTCCAGATCGCCGCCCATTAGGTCCGTTATTATCTTGTGACACTAAAATTACACTATATATATATATATATATATGTATATATAAAAGATATCTTTGTACATGCAATTGTCAAACACGTGCCATACAATATGATGCCATATAAGAGTTTTTCCTTAAAGAAAAGAGGAGAAAATGATACTCCTCTGGTCCTTAATATAAGACCCATTTAACTAATTTGATTAAATTAAAGAAGTTAGGTAAATTAGTTAATTATAAGAAAAGTGACATATTTTTCCTAAAACACCATAATCATCTTTCTTAATACCCCATCTCCCTCTTCTACTTGATTATGGTTGAGGGAGTATCCATAAGGGTAATTTAGAGAAAATTGAAAAATATGAGAAATGGGTCTTATATTTAGGACCAAAACCAACTCAAGAATTGGGTCCTATATTAAGGACCGGAGGAGTATAATCTTTTGGTTCTAAATAGAAGACATATTTTGTAGTATAAATTATACTACAAAATAGATCCTAAATTACACTATAAAATAGGTCTTTTATTTAGGACTGAAAGATTAATATTATAATAAGGACTAAGTATTATGAAACTTCATACTAGAATTAATTATTACACCCAATTCTTAATATAAGAGTTAAATAACTAATTTTGAAATATTAAAAAAATAGTTTAGTTAGTTAGTTCTAATAAATATTTATTCACTTTTCTAAATTTTCTTATTTAATTATGTATATTAAAACCATTTCTTGATGAGAATTCCTCACAATTGAGGAAAAAAATTATAAAATTAGGGGATAAAAATAGATGAAAATATTATGTTTAGAATAAAATCTAACATCTATCTAGCTCTTATATTAAAGATAATGTTTTTTCCTTGTAAAAGTATTACGTGATCTAACGTATTTAAAATTACAATCTTTAAAACATCATTAAAATATAAACTGAGAAGTGTTACTTTCAATAATAAAGCTAATGGCTTTGGATTAAAATACAAACTGCACTGGTTATGACTATGGATATTGTAGTTTACTATGAAATTCATATTTTACTTCAATTTCAATACTAACGACATTGACATAAAAAAGTAAAATACTCCTAACCTAATTGAAGAATTTATATTGATTTTATATGTAAGACATATTTAACATATTTATGATTTTTTAAAATTAATTCTATTGATATTCTCCCAACAATAATTAAAGAGGAAAAAGAGAGGGCAAATTAAAAAAAATGTTTAGGATATTTAAAAATAATTATATTAACTAATTTAACTAACATTTTTAATCTACTCAAATTAATTAATTAGGTATTATATCAAAAACCCAACAATTCAAAAGTTTAAACCTTACGCCTGGTTAAGATCAAGTCATGTGAGTTTAGATCAGGTTTTTCTTTTTTGAACAGTTAGTTTGAGGCGGTTAATTAGTTCATCTAGGTGCCTTGCAGAAGGGGGATATTGACTTGATGAATTTTGAAACGTCATAGAATCAATTAGAAGTTTCTGCTAAATCAGAATGATCAAATTCATTTTGATTAGTAATTGTTCAATTGTTCTGGAATCATTGTTGGGATAATAACCTTGATTTCTAAATATAGAAACCAACAATTTTGATTTCAAAGACAAGACTAATTACTTGGTCTCCAAGATTTATAATTTTTGCCCTATACTATTCCTTTTGATTACACACATAAAAAGTGTCTCAATTAGGAAGAGAAGTTTCCATAGTAAATAACCATATTACTTTCTGATTTTAAATATAAGACTCTTTTTATAATATAATTTACACTACAAAAACAGTCTTATATTTAAAACAAGAGAAATAACTAATAATTAATTTAAATAATTTCTTAATTTTATAAATTAATTATATAGATTTTATATTTAAAATCAGAACCAATTTGTTTATTGCAAAGTAAGATTATTCATAGACATCAACTTTTGGATAGAATTCTCCTGGACACCCGAGAACCGAGACTTGTTCAAACTTCTGGCGGCATACGGATCAAATGCAAGTAACATCATCTTACATAATTTTTGAAATAAAATTATCTGATACGTGATTATGAGTTTATATTGAAGTATTATCAAAATCTAATTGTTTCTGTCACTCGTCCACACAATTTTAGTAAATTGGTCATGAATATTTCATATTTTAATATCTTTTTCCTATTTCCACCAAGTTTGAGTTGAATTGATTAATCCCAAGTATTTTCTTCTGCTTAAATCAAACAATCTCTTCCCTCGTAATGCAACTCAACAAATTCTTCGGCTGTTTCTTCTATACAGCAAAAGCTTACATTAGCTTTCGTCTGGTACCTAATGAAATGATACATCTCAGAATTTATTCTTAAAATAATGGCCACAACACAAGATGCTAAAAACTGAAAATCCTGGCCAACCAAACCTGCTCCAACTAGTATGTGAGTCCAATACCTTCTGAAAAATCTGAAAGGAATCTCACTATTTATATTTGTATATATATATCTCATAAAAATTAAGACTATTTTTCAGATGAGCAGTTTTCTAAAAGGTTTTTTAACTTCACAAGGATTACAAGTGATTTTATGTATCCTATCGCTTTTTATCAATAAAAGAAAGACAATCTAAGTTATGACATAAAACTTACAGTGTTTTCAATAGAATAACGCTTCAGTATTTAGAAGCCATTTCGAGCAGCTCCTTGTGTTCATCTGAAACATAGGATTTGACCTTCATAGTTGGTTTACCATCAGTGCTTCCTGGAGACATATACTTCACCCCAATGACAGTTGCCAAACCTGCAGTGATCAAATTTATTACTCCTCTGGTGTTAATGTAAGAGTCACTTAGTTAATTTGAATGGATTAAGCAAACTAAATAAATTACTTAATTATAACAAACAAGACCTAATTCTCTTAAATATTTCGATGTAACATTAGATTATATACATTAGTTTATAAATTAAATAAATTAATTTGAAAAAAATAAATATGAAAAATAAAACAGATTAAAATTCTAAATTTAACACCAAAACCAACTCCTTTGTAAGTTCCTACATTTAGGAGCGGAAGATTATATTACAATTCCATCATTGTTGCAACCCATAAGATGATACAACAACAACAACTTTAGAGGTAGCATGGCAAGGATTTGTCTGATTTGACTGTAGCAACACGTGCAGATCAAGACAAAACACATTTCAGCTTAAACCATTAGTAGCACTCAGCTGCAAGATTCTTTTGTTAGTGATACAGTTTATTGTTTCTATTTAGTAACCTCCAAAAAAGTAAAAAAGTCAAGCTGCCATATTATTTAAAAGACCAGCGTAAAACAAACGGCTATAATCAGATCCACATTAGTCATGATTTAGCAAATGATTTAGTCTACAGTAATCTCACTATAGGTGAGAACTCTAGATTCATCATGTGCACATCCCATAGTAAGGCTTTTAATTACACTCACTCTCGTGTATGCGACCATAAACAAGTCTTTCTCCTTTCCAGTACTCCAGAGGCCTTGTCTTGATTCTAGTGCTTCGCCTTACTCCAGAATTCCAAGAAGTACCGGCAGCTGAAAACAAAAACACAGCAATATTTCAATATACTAAGCAAGTTTTTGAAAATGAATGAATGAGATCAATGTGACAGTTCAAACCTGCAAGGCTCTGCCTCCTTGAAAGTCTTTCATTCTTCTGTTCTCTCCACGAGTATGATTTGTCTTTCCTTCGTTTAACAGATGCCTTGGAAGCTTTGGTTTTCTCTCGTACCTTCACGGGGGGCAATAATTATAGAAGCTGCTAATTATAAAACAAATGGCTTCCTTGTTGCCTTTAATATTTTCTTCTTCCTTCTGGCATAAACTTTTTACGCAGAAAGCAGCAAAGCATTGAAATACCGAACAATTTTCGCAAATGGTTATTACTAAGTGAACTTTCAATAAACTATGCTTGGACAAGGTTTATTCAGCAAGTAAAGTTTACTCATCAACATATCCATCTGAGTCAATAGTCCCAAAGACGTTTCATTTCGCTCCCGAATTCAATATGAAACCGGCCACAAGAGGAAGACAAGTATACCAACCAAGCAAAAGTTCTGCATTTAGGTGCAAAATAATGAAACCACACTGAAATGGGGGATGATGTTCCAAATCATCTAGCCAAAGCATAATTTCCTTAGATTTTCAAAGCTTAGACATTCTAGAAACTATTTAAGGATAGAATATTGAAAGCAAGAGTTCAATCATAAACCATCTATTTTAATTAGACAGTATAATATATAGTATATTTTATTTTGCCTTTCAGATAGGATAAAGGTTGGACAGAACTAACTGTACTGGGGTAGCCAAATTCATGCAAAATTATAATGTTAGGCCCTATCAGGTGCTAGATTTCATTTTCTGCGTTAATTATTAAAATCAAGATGCATGTGAAAAGATTGAACAAAACAGAAAATCTCTATCACGTAAATAACCTGCAAACACTGTCTCGCTTCACCATCATTGGATGTTATCGTGCATTCATCTTTAGCATTCGATTGAAGCCCAACAGGAATTGATTGATCTGCTAATGCATGCCACAACAGAGTTGACAAAAAAAGGAAACATAACATTAAATCTTAAAACTAGGTTCTTTCCTCATATTAGATCAAGGTTCAAGTATTCTTACTAGTTACAACAAGTAGCAAGTTCATGAAATTCTGGGTAATGTTATATTATCAATGATTAAAACAGTCAATTCAGCCATTAATGTGATGTACCGATTAGTTTCACCATAGGAATTCAGCAAAGTTATATTTTTCATGTTTGTATCTTAGAAATTGATTATTATACCCATACCTACTGGATTCACCAAAATAAGATCTGAGTCATCTCTAGACATAGAACACTCCGCCTCCTGCATATTTGCTTCATTTACCTTGCCATAACACAATATTCACAAACTCATAAGATGATAAAACTAAAAGATCCAAAGAAACGCTCACGGTCTTCAAAATCTCAAAGCACAATTTACCTCAGAGTTTGACCTGCATACAGGAACATCCATAATTCCATCGCCCATGTCACTGTGTCCAATCTCCACATCAATGTCAACAAGTGGTTCTTTTGAGCCAATATGAGCATCAAAACCAAGTTTCTCTGAATTATCTTCCTTGGATTTTCTAGATGTAATGGCACAATCTCCAGCGCAGCCATCTTTAACGAATGATGCTGCCTCTCCAGAATTGATAAGATTGATTTCCCGATTCACCACAGAAGTGTTTCTTGTGGGCAAATTATCATCATCAATTAAAGGAAATGGATCAACTGAAGAACTTGAAAATGAGCAATACTTCAATAGTGATGATAGGAGAGCAAATGGACTCTTCGGTGGGGTGGAAGAAGATGAAGGTAATTGTCGCAAAGCACTTCTTGCATCCTGTCTTTGCTTCAATGCAGTTTTATTTCGCATCTCTGTCAACAAATTATCTGTGTCAGATAAAACCTTCCCTGGCTTTGACATGTCACACCCAAAAGATTTCAAATCAGTCACTCGATTGCTTGCTAAGTCTGGGATGGATAATTTTTGTAAGGTAATGGATCTGATCTGTAAGCTATCTAGCAAATGCGGGATGGCTACATCTCTCTCTAGATCATCACAAGTGCTATGCCGCAATTCTTTCAATATGTCGCCTATCTTCCCTTCAACAACAGAAGAGTCTGCAACAAAAAGTTATCATAGGCTAGGCCAAAATGAGTGACAGAATATAATGCACTTAAAGATAATAACAGCAAATTTTACTCCACATAGTAGAAGTCACATACCAGTTAGTTCACTCTCCAGTGATGCAAGACAAGGCTCATTTTTGCCTGTGTCCTCACCATCAAAACCTTGACTACTTGGTTCATATATCTCTTGAAAGGAAGGCACATGATAATTATTTTCAGAAGTTCCTACTGAATACCGATGCCTATACCTGACTACCCTCCTGACATGCATAATAACGGTGTTAGACAATGTAATGAAGTCATAAAAGATGCAAGAAAACGGAGATTAAGTATTCTAATGATACCACTGATTATTTCTCAAGAGTACTGGTCGACGTTGCCGCGCACAAGGGGATTTATTGTTCTGATTTAGTTCAAATGATACACCACCCATCTGCTTCTGTATTTCTCTTATGGCATCTATGGATCAATTATAATTCCAAAAAGAAAATTTAGAAATACCAACAAATGGGTATTCAGCAAGTTAATCAGGATATGACTTACTTTCCAACCGTTCATAAGCCATGAAAAATTCCTCCGGATCTTTCATATAATCAATGTCCAGAGTTGGTTTTAAAGTCTCACTAGGATAACTGTCAGGTGGATACATGACAAATACAGAGAGTTTACAGTCAATCTCCAGAGAAACTAATTCTTTGACGATGAACAAAAAAGACACTTTTTTTAAGCGTGAGGGGGAGAAGGATAGTAGTAAAGCTTACATTTTATTTGGCTTCAATGAGAAATGTGTGCGTTTGTGGCCTAGAGCTGGTCTTCGTTTTCGGGGATAATCTTTGGCCTCCATAAAAACGACATCATTCCTATCATTAAATGGTGGACCTCTCAAATATCCTGAGTTGAATGGCCCTGGGTTAACATTGACTCTGGACTTCGCCTGCTCCATAGGTTTATTGGAACTTTGCAACGGCTGTAAAAGGAAGAGGCATGAAAAGTGATTATTATCATAACAATACAATAAAAGCCTAAAAGTCTAACGACTGCTAATTAGTTTCCAAGTTCAATCTATCAAGGTTCTCACCATGACCAAGAAAAAAGACCATGGGTTAGATAAAACACTATAGCTTCCAGCAGAAAAAGGGTAAAACAGTAGTATTACATTATCATCAGTTTTCAATTGACTTCTATAAAAAAATAAGGGGATCGAATAACCATCTCATAAAAATTGATCTTTTCTTTTCTTTTGGCTAGGCACAAGCATCCTTTAGGCAATCTTGTTTGAGACACTATCATGCACTTAATGTGAGCAACTTTCCCAGTGAGAATTCAAACCTTGGTTCACCAATAAAATAAAGCTTTTAAGGTGAACCATTGGCATTTCTTTTAATTTAGGGTCAATAATAATTATACGGCTTTCAATTGCTGTCTAATAACATAGACATTCACTTGGGGTCAGTTTGCTCAAAATTAGAGGAAAGAATAAATAATTTTAGCTAGGCTAAACAAGAAAAAGTTGTTCGGAGCATGAGGGAGTAATTGGGAAAACATAAGCCAAACTCATAAATAACAGGTGGGAAAAATGGCTTATTTGAACTAGTTATTTCGAATAACTAATATAAAAAAGCTAAAAATAGATTTTTTTTTTTTTTTTTAACAAAACACTCATGATTAGCCTAATATTCCGGCACACTCAAGAGTTCAGCTTAACTATAATATTTTTTAAAGAAATTTTTTAACAAACTGCCCCTATCCGAAGCATGCATCTTCCTGACGCAAAGCACAAGCAAAATATCTGATATAAAAACATCACCTAAATAAGATGGTCTCAAGTGCTAGATACATTATTTTCCCTTGATTCGGAGAAACCAGAAGACATTACTTCGATACTTTCATCTAATTCACCAGATGAGAAAATCCATTTACAGAGATTCAAACTATCCAAGCAAATATAGTACTTGGAACTAACTCAAACATTCGAATGCTGCTTCCCTTATCTCTGCATGAAAATAAAAATAAACAATTTCTGCATTTTCTTTTCCTTCGGTTCCAATACAGCAAGGACAAAATTTCTTACGTCATATTCATCGGCAGAATCCGGGCATCCTCAGAAATCAAAACCCAGCTCTTAGCCTGAAAATACTCAACACATTAGTGCAATAAAGTTTATTGGCACCCAAAACACAAAATTTAAACAAAAAACTCTAACTATGAAATTCCAAAATCACTCAATAATTACAACATCAACCCAGTATGAAGGAGTATACCAAAAAGTGTAAGGCAAAAAGAGAAGAACCGGCCAGAATCCAGAGCTTTGCTCGAAAGAGAACCAGAAAGCAGAACAGATTGTAAGAGCCCTAAAATATCGCGGGAAAGAGAACCAAGAGCGGCTTCTGTCTAATGCGTTTGTATTTTAAATTTAAAATCAATCAATTGATTTTTAAAAAATAAAAATAAAGAGAACTGAGCGGGAGCTACAGCTCCTTCCCGCGCGAGCTGCGACTTGTCGTTTTCACTTATGAAATGAGGGATAAAAAGGTCAAAAACAAGCGTGAGCGGCAGGATTCGAACCTGCGCGGGCAGAGCCCACATGATTTCTAGTCATGCCCGATAACCACTCCGGCACGTCAACCTGATGGTTGTTAAAGCCAAAAGTTACAGACTCAATTACAAAGGGAAAATGAAAAACACAACATGCAAAATATGCTATCCTCTAGAAATATGAATCATAATTGAAAATTTTGAAATCTAAAAAAAGGACAATAATTTTTGGCAGGAATTATATTTATAATAAGGTTAATTATCAATATAATAAAACGAAAATATTTGAAATTTTTAATGAAATAAAACTATATGGTTACAGGTGATCCGAATATACATTATTTTTGGTTATGATTAATTTGTATATTATTCTATATAATTTTTATTTTTTTTTATCATTTTTAAGCTCAAAAATTTTTGAAAAATGTTACAGCTTCTGGTGCGTTGATCATTGTTTTTATTTTTGCCAAACACGTTAAAATTTTTTTAACATATAAATATTCTAATATAATTTTTCATTGATGAGGCTGATTATTATTATTATTATCATTATGAGGGAAAATTTCATTTTAGGGCCATCATAGACAATTCATATCAATCAATCATCAAAACATTTTAAAATTTCAGTCCTCACTCTTTAGGACCAAAATCAAATTAAAATTTAACAATAAAATTATAATAATACTCTTCGTTTTTATTTTTTTAAAACGAAATTTTCCCTTGTCATTATTTTGGGGTCTTCTGTTTAACGAATCGCTATTTGGGCAAACGGCAATTTCACTTTTCACCAGACAAACCACACAAGGTCAAGTGGTTCCTCGTTATTGCACGCACAAGCGCCTCCTCAAGTCAAGTCTAAACAACAAAACTGTCCTCGGTTGCCGCTATTTCATAGTAGGGTTGCTTTTAACCTGATAAACGCCACCGTTGTCCCTTTCTACTCACTCACTTCCTTCGCCATTACCTCTGTCATTTGCTTCCTCCCATTGTTGTAAACCTCTCTTAACTCTGTTTTCCTCTGCCTCTCCTTCTAACAATGGGTGCTTCTCTGCCTCCCAAGGAGGCCAACCTCTTCAAGCTTATTGTTGTAAGCTTCGATTGCATTTACTCTTTCTTTTTATAATTCGATTTTGATTGCTTCCCGTGGTTCGATCGCAGTTTAATCACTTCCTTCAACTTCCTGGTTTGTTTTTACCTCCTGGAAACCCTAAGATTCTGTTCTTTGTTGTGGATGGTTTCTTTTGGTTTGTTTGGTTGCTTGAGGAATCGGGATAAAAGTGAAAACCGAGAGTAATGGGGGTGTTCTCACTGAATTGTCGAGTTTCATAATATTGAAAATTATGGCATAGAGGTCGTGTATATAGTTGGTGAACGTTAATTCACCATGGAAAATGCCGTATCTACCTGTTAACGGGAGACAATATAAGATACTGAGTAATTAAGCGAATTCCCTGCTTTGAAAATGTTGGAAGTCGCTCTTGCTCCGCTTTCACGACCCGTCGTAAGGAAGGATTCGGGTTCTGGAGCCAAATGGCAATGCCTTTGCATAAATTATATTTGGCAAATTCCTTCGAGTAGGATTGTTATAGGATTCGGTTTTCTCCACGTGGGAAAATTCATGCATGATTGTTTTGCTAATGTAAGTAGAATTTGCTTACCATGTTCAATCATAATCTTTGGCTAAGTGAGCGAAAACACTTCCTTTCTTGGGAAACTGATAAATGAAGAGCTCTCTCTCTCTCTCTCCCTCTCTCTCTCTCTCTCTCTCACACACACACACACACTCTTAATTTTTCTTAACCCCTTGTTCATCTTGCTGCAGAAATCATATGAAACAAAACAATACAAAAAGGGACTCAAAGCAGCTGATGCTATTTTGAAAAAATTTCCGGACCATGGAGGTATTATTTCTTTTTGGTAGCTCGTGCGTTTTCTTCTGTTCAGGGAATTATTACAATTTGCTTTTCGTTTGTCCCAATGGGTGTCCAGAAACACAATGCTAACCCCCCCCCCCCCAAAAAAAAAAAAAACTTGCCTTCTCAGTGTCGTTTTCATGCGCTACATTTTTTAATGGTTCTTTAAACAATTTTCTTATATATGTGTCTATTCCTCCTTCTTGTTGATAGAAACTTTATCAATGAAGGGTTTGACATTGAATTGCATGGATCGTAAGTCTGAGGCATATGAACTTGTTCGTCAAGGACTAAAGGTCTGCATATTGTCTTTGATATTTAACCTTAATTATATGTTCATTGTTTGGTAGTTGACCTTGGCTTAATATTTTGCTCTGGTTCAGAATAACCTCAAAAGTCATGTTTGCTGGCATGTTTATGGTCTTCTTTATCGGTCAGACAGAGAATATAGGGAGGCCATTAAGTGCTACCGCAATGCATTGAGAATAGATCCCGCTAATCTTGAAATCTTACGTGACCTGTCACTTCTGCAGGTACGTAACTTAAATGCCATACATCTTCCTTTGCTTCATTATAATGGATGAACTCATTCATCTATGGACTGTGTATCTTGTTTCATATTGTGTGTGCGCGCAAAACTTGTACTCATGACAAATTTTGCTTATATCTTCCAGGCTCAGATGCGAGATTTAACAGGCTTTGTTGAGACAAGACAAAAACTTCTGACTCTTAAGCCAAATCATCGCATGAACTGGATTGGCTTTGCAGTTGCCCATCATTTGAATTCTAAGTATGATTTGGATCATGTATTTAGTTGTTTGTATCTGATAGGTGTTTATTCTTAACAATTTTTTCCTCTCATGCTTAGTTGCCTGCTGTTATGGAACTAAGATAGTCTTCTTTCTTAGTTGTTATTCTATTTATTTCTGTCTATTATGTTTATTGCTTTATTTTGAAGCTTGACACTTTTCTGTACTTTTTACATTTTTATTTTTGATTTTTTTCTTGGTTATATTGGTGCTGTTTGAACCCTCGTCATCACTCCACCCCATGCTTACTTTTTTATATTCTCAAAAGATGATTATTTTGAATCCCGCTTCACACATGATCAGTACTTTGGGGGAGTGTTATTCTAGTCATCCCTCTCATTTTGATAGGGTTGGTCAGGATATGATCTTTTGTTGCTAATTTAGTATATAAAGTGGTAATCATTTATATTTTGCAAAAGTCATGAGTTTGCTGTGGTTGATGTGTTATATCTACTAGAAATTAACTTCTGGAAAGATATAATGGCAACTCACCTTATAAGTAATGTATTGTATTGCCAGAATTGTTTTCGTTAAAATGTAAATAACCAAAAATTATAAACTCAGATGAAATGCTATCTAATATTTTTCCCTTCAATTTGTTGCTTATCTTGAGGGATTCGTTGGTGGACTTTGTTTTTATAAATCAATTCAGTGGTGAATATGCCTGAAAGATCCTTTGCCAGTGTAAATTGGTAGATTTATTTGATGTAATTTGAGAGATTTCTCATTTTGATTTTCCTTTACTTATTGCATTATTGCACTAGATCAGCCGGAGCCTCAAGCATGTCATTACTGTCATGCCATTTCCTTGGTCCTTTAGCCACAATAAGTTTGGTCCTTAGTTGCCATTTACTGAATTCTATCCAATTGATAAATGTTGATCCCCAAGTCACCTGCGCACCCAATCAACTCAAGGGATTAACTTTTCTAAAATAGAAAATCACATAATATCTACAAATATGCACATAAAACATCATAAATGACTTTACCCTTTATGCACATTTATCATTAATTATGCCCAACTAATTAAGAGTTAGTGCTAGCAAGCATAGGATTAGACATTAAAATGTATGGAAATAATGAGTTCTGTCAATTACCCTGGCTTTTCTGCTAATGATTATCATTGTAATAATTTTTTTTAATGTTTTATATTTAATTATGTAACAGTGCGTCCAAGGCAGTTGAAATTCTGGAAGCATATGAAGGTACCTTAGAAGATGATTATCCTCCTGAAAATGAACGGTGTGAGCATGGGGAAATGCTTTTATACAAGGTTTCTTGTCTGATGGCTTGTCTGTTTCTCGATTTAGGAATTGTGCCTTTCCCAAAATTTGGGATTTAATGTAACTTTTATATTGATTGGCTGTTACCTTAATTGTACAATTGTGACCAGTCTTTGCCATTGTGTATATAATTTTTCATATAATAAAATTCAATTCCTAGACTTCCTAAAGTTTCTTGGGAATCTGAATTGTGGTGCTTTAAACAAACTTATAACTGAATTTCTGGGGAACCTTAGATAAGCCGTCATTTGGATGACAAGAACACCATTTAAAATAGCTTGTTATTGAAGCCCAAGTATCAACCAGTGTAAATGATTATCATTCCATCCAAATCAGGTCTGCATCTGTATTCAGTTGTCATTGTTTTTGGTCCCCCACCTTTATTTTAGGAGGATTTTGTTCTTCTGATGAAACAAACAAGTTTATTTTTTACAGCTTCTATATCTTGGTATATGATCAAATCCTTTTGTGGGTCTTATATGATGCTGTTTGTTATTGAGTGAATGGGAAATTTTTTTTGTTACTTCAGCTCCGCACTTAAATGCTTCTGCAAATGACTGACTCAAGTGAAATTACATGTGGTCCAATATGAATATTCTGCTCACACTTATATTTCTGCATGTCCAAAATTTTGAAATCTTGTGGATATAATTGCTGGTTTTAGTGTTGTCCCTAGATTGTGAATTTTTTGGTAATTAGACTCTGATTTCATGTGTTAACTATTATTTTTCAGATTTCTTTGTTGGAGGAAAGTGGATTTCTTGAGAGAGCTCTTGGGGAGTTGCACAAAAAAGAGTCAAAAATTGTATGTCTGGTTTATTGTCCGTGATGATGTGTTACTATAACTAATAGAGCATGAGCTATTATGTTTTCTTTTTATTTTGTTTAGGTTGATAAGCTCGCATATAAAGAACAAGAGGTTTCACTCATAGTGAAGCTTGGTCGCTTGCAAGAAGGTGAAAAATTGTATCAGGCGCTTTTGTCCATGAATCCTGACAATTATAGGTGATCTCTGTTTTCAGAGCTTTTAGGTTGGGATGTGTAAACGGCACAGTCTATCTAGGAATCTTTGATATATCCTCCCCAATCTTGAAAATTATTTTTCCTTTATTGCTTCTATTGCACGCTTTGAGGGTTTAACTTTACGCTGTTTTCTATACGCATTTTCCCTGAAAGGTGGAAACCATGGGTAGATATGTGGTTAATTGTGTTTTCACTTAGCATCTCCTGTGAAATGTTGCTTAAAAGTGCTTGTAAAAAAGGAAGTGCTGGAAAAATTTGATAGGATCATCTTCACCAATGATTTTTGGCCTTTTTTTTTTTGTGTGGATATTTTCCTTGTCTTTAATGTAGAGGTAGAATGAGGTTCGGAGGGAATGGCTTGAGCACTTTTCAGTAGGCGTGGCCTAAAACAAGCTGGGGTGGTCTTAGAAAGGCCCATCTCTAGTAATTACAATTTATGTAGGCCAGGTATTAAGAGAGATACTGAATAGAAAATTCTTTTTTAACCTGTTAGAGAAATAGTTTTATTTCTGGTCGGTCTCCAGCAAAGAATGATAAAATCCTTATTTTGATATAGCCGCCCCTGCCTTTATTTCATGTTGTTTTATGGGTTGACAGTCAGGTCACTTGCATAACTCTATTTCTAAGTAGTCTATTTGTGTTTGGTTTTTCTGCAATATTGCTCACGTTGGAAGCTGATTAATTTAATGTTTCATTTATCTGTTCAGATATTTTGAAGGACTCCAAAAATGTGTTGGGTTATGTTCAAAAGATGGCCATTATACTCCAGATGAAATAGATCGGCTAGAGGCTTTGTACAAATCACTTGAGCAGCAGTACAAGTGGTCTTCTGCTGTGAAGGTATCACTATTTGTGCTTGTAATTATGTATACTTTACTTTCAATGTCATGCCTGGATGTACCTCAATGATAACTTGGTTATGATGTTGTATTATTATCTGCATAAGAGATGCACATGTCTGCCTGTATTTCAGTGCCTCCTTGCAAATAACTTCTTCTGGAATGCCCTTCTTTGCCATGCTAAGATTGCTTTTAGGGCAGATCTGCCCCCTCCTTTTTCGTTTTCTGAGGAGGCAAGAAGAATTCCTTCTCTCTTGCGACAAAATGGAAATACATTGACAAATCTTGATTGGAGGATCCTTTAGCAAAAGCACTTTTAGAGCCTTTTAAACTTAATAAGTGATTTTGATATTGTTGTAAAGATTTTATGAAAAGTGATTATTGTTGAGAGATTTTAGGAAAAGTAGGAATTAATTTATGATCATTAAAAACGATTTATTATTTAACGATTTTCAGATTTTATGATATCCCCATGTATCTTCACAATTTCATCAATATTCTCTCTTATCTATTGCATTTGATTATTTTTAAAATTTACGAAATTTAGCTTCTCAAAGTAATAAATAATCTGATTTTTAAAAAAAATTGTTAATGTAAAAGGCTTAAATGATAATCCTAGAATTTCTCAAAAATACCTTTCTTAAAAAAAAAATATGTAATTTCTTTAATAAAAAAAGCTGAAACGAACATGCTTATTCTGCGTCTCTATGCTCTTGTTTTTTCCCCCTTCCTTAGGTAGCTGGAATTTCCCTTCTTGTTATGAAAATTGAAATATACATGTCACCAAAAAAAAAATATATATATATATATATTGGTTTTGATGGCAAAAAACTGACAACTATCATCGTGATGCTACGAGTGGTTCTGGCCCTTTCTATAATCTTGGTTTTGATGGCAAAAAACTCTTCTGAGTTCATTTTTTAGTGGATCTTTGACAATAGTACATTAATATAGAAAATATGAAGACTGGTAATTCACTGGATTTATTGTTGTTTAAAAAGATATTTGTTGTTGGAGTGCTTTGTTTTCTTCCTTTAGTGAAATTCCTTCTACATTTAATTATTGTGCGCCAGAGAATACCACTTGATTTTTTGCAAGGTGACAAGTTTCGAGAAGCAGCACAAAATTATATTCAGTCTCGCCTAACTAAGGTGAAAACAACTACTTTTCATATTACATTTTTCCTAGTTTAGTAGTTACAAAACTGAAAATGTTATTTTGTTTTAGGGAGTTCCATCGCTGTTCTCTGATCTTTCTTCTCTGTACAATCATCCAGGGAAGGTCAGTTTTAAACTTTAATTTATATTAAAAATTGTTTGGATTACTTGTGACTGAAATGCGGTTGTAGAAAATACTATTTCTATTGGTTATAACTTTTTTTCTTTTTCACGTCTATACAGGCTGATATTTTGGAACAACTTATTCTTGAGTTAGAGCATTCAATCAGGACAACCGGTCAATACTCTGGAAGGTAAGAGATGCTTATCAACATTTTTAGTATCATCATTTCCTCACTGAAATTCGGCTTATGTAATATTTTGCAGATTGGAAAATGCTTTACTGATTACTAGTGTTGTTGCAGCACTAATGTTCTCTGATTTTCTCATAGTTTTTTTTTGGGGACGTAGTCCTAGTTAGTTCCTCAAAAATTTAGCAGAGTCAATATGATGACAATATATGTCTTATTTGTTGCATGACTAGTTTCTGTTTTTATTTTTTTTATTTTTTATTTTTGGCTTGGATTCTATCTCTGTATCCTCCAAGTTAGGCCCAATAACTTGTCTTGTCATTGACATTTTTCTTTGGGTTGTATAACCTGGTCCTTTCTTGAAATTAAGATCTTTGGCTAACCATTGTTAGTATTGTATGCAGAGTGGACAAAGAGCCCCCTTCAACTCTGATGTGGACTTTGTTCTTCTTGGCACAGGTTGGTGGCTATATTTTGGATAATTTTTCGTATGCCTTTTTTTTTTTGTGTGCCCCTTCTATCGTTTATTTTCCTTACACAAGAAGTTGTGCTGTTGCAGCATTATGACAGACGGGGCCAATATGAAATTGCTCTTTCTCGAATTGATGAAGCTATGAAGCACACACCTACTGTCATCGATCTATATTCTGTCAAGGTCTGCTAATGCTTTCTGAATTTGATTGGTCATGTTCCAGTATTCCAAATTCTTATATAAAATCTCAAGTCTAAACCATCACACTTGAGAACCTTATTGGATTGTAAGATGTTGATAGCTAGGATTCAAACTCTCTCTTCTATGAATCATATCAACATGTGCTATAATATTATGAGTAATTGATGTGCTACTCTGGCAAAAAAATTTGTTATTGAATAAAAAATTTAGGCAAGTCAAATGATGAATCCCAAAAGAGCCAACATGTGTGCTTGAGATAATGGATGAAAATGAGTTGGGCCAGGAGTTAGTAGCTGTGGTTCCATGCGAGCGGAGATCTGAATATGCACTGATTCCATTGATATAAGAATTACTATATATGCAGCATGTGCATTAACGGCAGGATCACATTCACTCAAAATCAGGGAAGAAAGAATAAAATCCTAAGTTTGACTATTTACATAGGGAAATAAAAGGAAATAAATCAAGACACTAATTTCTAGTCAATACAGTGGTTTCCACTTTTTCTCATTAAGCAATTTTCATTTAGAAAAATCTTTTGAATGGTGTTTACAAGATTTTTGTATATCAGAGTCGGATACTGAAGCATGCTGGTGATTTGGCCGCTGCTGCTGCCCTTGCAGATGAAGCTAGGTGTATGGATCTTGCTGATCGATATATCAATAGTGAATGTGTTAAGCGCATGTTACAGGCTGATCAGGTTTTTATCCATATTATCATTATATTTGAATTACAATTAGATACAAACATGTTATTTATTGCACCTTTCTATTTTTTTCTTCATTTGATTCTTTCTTGACCTTTTTCTTGGTTTATTAGGTGGCTTTGGCAGAAAAAACTGCAGTCTTGTTCACAAAAGATGGGGATCAACACAACAACCTCCATGACATGCAGTGCATGTGGTATGTATATGTAACATTGCTCCCTAGAAAGGGGTATTGTGGTTCCATTATATGACACATCTTGCGAAATCAATCTTTTTTTAATAAGAGAACAAGTCAACCAATAATCACCTATACGAGGTGTACACATGGGAAGAGGGAGGAAATTCAGTCTGTCATGCAGCACGTGCTTGAGATGGAGGATAAGGATGCATTTAGTGGAGAAAGTGGGAGTTAGAATAACGATCTCACTTCTGTTAGTTGGTTTCCTATTATTTAGGACAAGGGGCTTGTTTGTTTTATTTATTAATTAATTATTTATTAACTCAGTTTGCTTTTGACTTGGTCATTGAGTCTGTCATTTTTAGTACAGTCACTTTTAGGTATAACGTGGCTAGTGTGCAGAATTTGTTATTTCCTTTTTATTGGTGATTCTCCTAGGCTGCTGCTCTTGATTGAGTGAGATACTTGCTTTATCTTTGCTAATATATTTATTTCTTACTAAAGTTTCTTGTTTTCATTCCTTGCCTTATCACTTTTGCAGGTATGAGCTGGCTGCTGGTGAAAGTTATTTTCGCCAAGGCAATCTTGGCCGGGCTCTGAAGAGATTTTTAGCTGTAGAAAAGCATTATGCAGATATTACTGAAGACCAGTTTGATTTCCATTCATACTGCTTAAGAAAAATGACTTTGCGAACTTATGTGGAGATGCTTAGATTACAAGATCGATTGCACTCACATGCATATTTTCACAAAGCAGCTGCTGGAGCAATCAGGTGAACGTTGCTTTTGCTTTATTGATATGCTACACGTGATTAATTTCTATGGCTTTTTGCTTTCTTGCACCCCTTGTGAAGCTGAAAGTTCCTCGTGTGTTCATTATTTGTGGATTGGATTTATACTGTTGTGATCAATTTCAGTTAACTCCTTCAGGATTGGCATTAATGGTTCAGCTCAAGTTAGCGTAGAGTCATATGGCAAATGTGCTATTATTATTATTTTTATAATGTGAATGCTCTTTTCATCTTGTATATTTGATCTCATAGTTGAGGTGCCGTTTTGCAGATGTTACCTGAAATTGTATGATTCTCCTTTGAAGTCGACAACTGAGGAAGAGGATGACATGTCAAAGTTGCTTCCTTCTCAGAAAAAGAAATTGAGGCAAAAACAGAGGAAAGCAGAAGCACGGGCTAAGAAAGTACTATAGTAATTCAAATGGCTTATGAGGATATTCTTACGGGAACAATACTCATCCTAGTGTTTTATTTTCTATTTAGGAGGCGGAAGAGAAGAATGAAGATTCAAATGCTGGTGGTGTGTCAAAGTCTGGAAAGCGGCATGTGAAACCTGTTGATCCTGATCCACGTGGTGAAAAGTTGTTGCAGGTGGAATTTTTAATGTGTTCACTGCCCATTAGGTTCATATTGTCATTTTATCTGATTTTACTGGGCCCCAACATGAGATCTCCTTCTCCGACTTGTGATAAGATGAGGAACAGCATTTACTTGTAGGCTGAATTCCCTGATGATCTACTGCTAATATTCTGATGGCTTCTACTTGGCATATGAGGATTTTTGATGTTGGTAGAAATTCCTAACTATCAAAGATAGTCAAAGGCCACCGTGAATTAGCTTTTAGGTGTTAGAGATATGGTGGGGTGTGAGTAGTTGTGAAGGGTTCAAACCTTCTGATGTAAAGAAAAAATTAGGAATGTTCAAAAGATGAAGTGTGAAGTAATGCATGACATAAATAAATGTGTTTTATCTGAGCCAGTAGAGTTTGGATTCTTTAAGTAGATTTGCCCGAAATTTATTTGCTGGACATTCCTTATAAAAAATGTTATAAATATTTCTTTTGTCAAAAGCGTAATGCATACTTTTATTCCTAGAAGAAACATATTCTCAATGTTTCTTCCAAGAAAATTTTCAAAGTATCCATTATATTTTCCTTTTTTAGTAGCATTTCCTCTAAATTAGCTAGATGTGAATTCGCTAGGTTGAGCAGATTAGCACCAACTTTTTCTGTTTTGTATTTCGTTTTTGTTTGAATGTCATAATTGATAAATTGATCAACTGTTATTATAAAGCACTTTGTTATTAGCTTTTTAATTGTAAGGCTATGTTGTCATGAGTATTGTCTGTCTTTCTTCTGTCTAGGTTGAAGATCCACTATTAGAAGCCACAAAATATCTGAAGTTATTGCTGAAGAATGCACCTGATTCGTTGGAGACACATTTGCTCTCTTTTGAACTGTATATCAGGAAACAGAAGATTTTGCTTGCCTTTCAGGTATGTCTCTGTTAAACGGGGGATTTGGGAACTTCTTGTGTCTGGCATCTGATTATTGCCATATAATATTGTCAGGCTTGTGACTGAACTGGATTGATAGTTGAGTGTCTTCCTTGCTATCTTAAGCACAATGGGAAGCACTAAGTTGTCAACTAGCAATTAATTTAATGAAATGTGGATTCTAGCTCATTAATGGAGTAATTTTTGTTTTGAATCTTATAATACGGACTATATCTTTTTCATATCAGAAACTGATTCTTCTTAAATGTTTTTTTTCCCTGTCTTATATTTTCTAGGCCGTAAAGCAGTTATTGAGATTGGATGCTGAGCACCCAGATTCTCATCGTTGCTTGGTATGATATTTCTTCTGAGAATACATAAATATGTGTGCATGCGTGTGAGAGAGAGATCGGTAATCAAAGGAAAAATCCCTTCAAAATTTGTTCTACCAATTCTCTTTAAAGACCTATCTTCTCTTTTCTCATCGACATTCTCCGTTCTTGTGACTTCTTCCTTCATGAGAGTCCAACAAAATGATAATCTGCAAAAACCCGCTGGCATTTATTTTTCAAGTGCACATTTTGCGGTGAAGTTTTTTATGTGTTTCCGTTGTCATTAATTTTCAAGTTCATGTGTTGTAGATTAAATTCTTTCATAAAGTTGGATCTATGAATGCTCCTGTGACTGATAGCGAGAAACTCATTTGGAGTGTCTTAGAAGCTGAACGCCCAACAATTAGGTTTTCCAACACTTTTTCTTACTATCTGTTTCCTTTTATTTATATGGAGATTGGTTCGGACAATTATTCTGATCCATTCATTTTTAACTTTAAATTTCTGTTCTTCTTTTGAGCAGTCAGTTGCATGAGAAGTCCCTGCTTGAGGCAAACATCTCTTTCCTTGGAAAACATAAAGGTCATAATCTACAATATCTGGAACTTCTGCCTTTAGTCAACTCTTCTCGTGATAACTTATTATTTTGTATTTGAACTCTCTTGTTTGCAGATTCTTTGATGCACAGAGCCGCTGCTGCTGAAATGTTGTGCACTTTGGATCCCAACAGAAAATCCGAAGCTGTCAAGTTGATCGAAGAGTCCCCGAGTGACCGTGTGCCTAGGTGATGTCATGTAGTATCTTAAACTTTGTTTCTTTTTGTTTCCCTTCTGGGTTGAGTTTCTGCTTTAAAATAAAATAGTATTATTGAATGTGATGACTTCTGGTTCCGCAAGAAATGGAGTGGTTGGAGCAATTTGGGAATGGAAACTCAAAGATTGCATAGCTGTTCATAAGCTTCTAGAGACAGCCCTTGTTGAGCCAGATGCTGCATTGAGTAAGTGTTACTGAAAACTTGTCTGTTGCCAAACTTTTTCTCCACTTAGATAGCCTTGACAGGACAACTGCACATTGTTATTTGATGGTGGGTATGTGTTGGCAGAAACTAGTAAAAGGATGAAATAGGTGGGAAAGAGGAATATACTAGTAGGGAAAATAATTTAATTAGGTAATTGAGAGTAGCATGAAGTCAGTTACAGGACATGTAGATTGTGGGATTCACACGAACTGATAGAAATTATGAAATCACTAGAACTTGTTTATTTTATCATTACCTTGTCTCTCACTTTTGTTTTGCAAACTGGTGCATCACTAGAACCTTTGCTCATCATGGTTCTTTAGATGATATAAATGTTATCACTTTGTGTTCATTTGGAAATGATAAGAATTGGTTTATCGTGCTAAGATTAATGCTCTGCTACAGGATGGAAAGTGCGTTGTAAAGAGCTTTTCCCTTATTCCACATACTTTGAGGGCAACCGCAGTTCTGTTTGTCCCAGCTCAGCCTTCAATCAGATGTGTAATAACTTCGGAAATGTGAGTATTAACCATTCGGTGGATGGCCAAAATGTGGATCCCTTCACATCAAATGGTAAACTAGACGCATTTAAAGACCTCTCCATATCACAAAGTTGAACACGTGTCAAAGCTAGAGGTTCGCAAGTTACTCTCTGGGGACCCGTGGTAAACCAAGTTGCATTTGACACTACTTGAAAAGACCGAGTTGCAGCTCACGGCAACATGGGTTGTCGAGTTTTGATGCGTGTTATGCAAAATTCTACATGGAATTCACAGATGTGGTTCGTTGCACAAGTTTTCCCCCAGCTCTGAAATGTATTCCCTTGTGCAAATGTGTATAATTTCACCTCAGTTACATTTTAGGGTTGAGTTTAAGCCGTTCACCCCTTTTTCTCTCGTGAGAGGGTAAGATGGGGCGAAAGGATTTGCACCAGTGTACGGGGTTTCACCATTTTGGTCGTGGGGGAGAGTTGCAGAGTTTTTCAGGTCTGTGGTCTGCATCCAGCCATTATATATACACCGAAATGTTGTATGTTGCCTATTTTATTGGCTTATTTATAGTGTATAAGCATAAATTAGGGGAAAATTTTGCCGCAATGACGGCTTAAGTTTTGGATTATTTCAGTCTGTTTTTCACTGGCAGAGAGGGCTGAGTTATAAGACATACTCTTGATCAATTTTTTATGAATGTTTAGGTTGTAGTTTCAATCGTTCATGAACTCCTTTGAAATTTCAGTTACGCTTGCGAAGCCCATTTGTTTAAACATGTGCTGCCATAAATGAATCGAACTAAGATGTTGGTTATTTAGCCGGAGAGGTTTCTCAATTAATTAGGACAAGAGTGAAACGTGCGCACGCTCTCCCAATTTACGTGCGCATATGCTTCTGTTTATTAAATTATGAAATTGGATTTGAAATGGGTATAAATGTTTGGAAATTAAAAGTTTTCAATCAATAATCGGTATCATCAATAAAAAAGCGTAAGGACATGAATTTTTTTATGATTTATCTCATCTACAAATAAAATATATGAAATATCCACTTTTTTTTCAAAAAAATTTTATAATCACTAACAGACTGTTAATTGAGATGGTGGACGATTTCATTCTATAAGAAAAAGAACACAAGTTAAAATCCCACCAAGTATACTTGTTAAAAGGGTTTTTTTAACGTTTTCGACGTGGTAAATATTAGTCTTAAACCCAAATCCAAAATAGTTTGGGGATAGTCTAAGTTACATTAACAAAAAAAAAATACTTATATCCAATATCCACTACATCAACAGACGTTGAACAGACAAAACAACAAAGAAACCTAAGCATGATCAAGAGCTTGAAGTTCAAGTCAACAGTTTCATTAATTTTTCGTACATATATTTACATATCGCGAACTGAAAAAAGAATAAGTAAACTGTAAACAGAATTCTAGCAACAAGACTTCATAAGCATATCAAGGCAGGAAAAAGGTGAGCAGAGAAGGGCGGTGAATGTCATTATAAGCATTTCAAAGGTTTATGATCGATACTTATATATGCTTGAAGATATTTTTTTATTAAAAAAAAAAAATTGGAATCTATCTTCAGCTCTCAGGCCACGTGTGACGCTGAAAAGCAGAGTCCAAATGCTTGGCACAGGCATTAAAGGCTGCAACTTCATTAGGGCGTATCATCTTCAGGAAAGCAACTACCAGCCCTTGTAGGGCCTGTGGCTGACTCGGCAACCATTCTCCTCTGATGCTAACTGGACTCCCCTGCTGAAAGGACACTTGTACCGACCTCGCTTTTACAGAGAGGACAACATGCATTTATCTTTAGCCACTTGTCCACACACTCAACATGAAAGACATGGAAGCAAGGTAGCTCCCTAAGGTCATCATCATCTGCATATTTCGCCAAGCAAATGCAACAAGCCTACAACAAATTTCAGAAGGCTTTAAACTTTGCATCAAAAAATTTGGGCCAAAATAAAATTTTACAGTACATTTAGTTCTACGTTTGTAGAGGAGGTATGGCCTGTATTTTCTGTGAAGGATCATCAATGATGGAGGATCTTAGGGATGCAGAGGCCCATCCATCAGGCATCAACATCTAGGTTCTGCTTGTATTTAAATATTTTACTTTATACTTAGGTAAGATTTCTCAATATTTCTGGCTTCTTTCAACCATTAAAGAACAGAATGGCATTTTACCCGGCTTGCTACTACACGATAAGTAACCTGATGTTATTGCAAATTCATTACCAACAAAGAAATACTAGTATATCAGTAAAAAAATTTTACCGGACACAACATTTCCTGTTAACACAAATACCAGTTTTTCTAATTTTAAGCATTGCATTGCAGTAGCACCGGAACGAAATAGGTAAATGAGTTCATGATTTTAAAAAATGTAGCAAGTACAAACTTACAGCATCTTCTCCAGATATGGATCGCTCCTTTTCCGTCCCAGCAGCCAAGGTCCCTCCTTCATCTATATCTGTATTGCCATTCGGATCATCATTATTTTCGCTTTTCTTCAAACTGAACTTATATATAGGCAGGGCATTAATAGATTCAACTGTGGCTCCTCTAGTTTGAGAAAAGTCCTCTCGAATCCCCAAAACAGAAATTATGCAAGGTAGGCAGCAACAAATTGTTGCACATAGTATAAATGGCATAGCATATCCAATGCAGCTGAAGGTAAGAAACACTATACATAATCTGCAAGAAGGCCACCATATTTCAAGGTTTGGGAAAGTTAAATATTATTAGTTTAGTACCACAAAATATAGTGTTGCAAATACCTATATAATTTTGGAGCATCAGAAGGAGAAGAGTGACCTCCAAAGATCCAAACGTTGCCCACAACAAACCAAACCGCAAAGAAGCAATCTAAGGCCATTTTGAAATGGTCTACTAGACCACTAAACCTGCAGTGCAGCAAAGGATTTCTCCGCTAAGTTTATTATTATATGCTAAACCCAACTAATATCAACAATTTTGTTATGAATTTGGAATTCAATAGCATAAGGGGGGGAAAAAAACACGTGGAGCATTTTTGAAAGATTTCTCCTTCTCCACATGATTTAAATCAATTCGAGAAATTTTATCTTAAATAAAGAAAAATATAACATCCAAGATACTCCTCCAATCCTTAATATAAGACCCAATTGTTGAGTTGGTTTTGGTCCTAAATATAAGATTCTCTTCTTATATTTATTAATTGTCTCTAAACTACCCCTATGAATACTCCCTCAACCATAATCAAGTAGAGGAGGGAGGGAGGTATTAAGAAAGATGATTATGGTATTTTAGAAAAAACATATTACATTTCTTATAATTAACTAACTTACCTAACTTCCTTAATCTAATCAAATTAATTAAATGAGTCTTATATTAAGGACCGGAAGAGTACATCTCACGAGCTTGTGAGCCACAGCCTTAGGTTTTTGCACTTACAGCAACTATAATGCAGAATAAGGCCCAAAAAAAAAATGATATGAAGAAAAAAAATTCATATGTGCATGGAACCAAATGATGAATCTGATCCCCACATTTTGTTATGAATTCAAATTTTGAATGGGACCAGAGCAAATAGATATTACGCTCAAAAAAGCTGCAAAATGCTTTTCTCCATTATAATGATTGCCCACTTTAAAATCCCTCATTTTCTTCCTTAACATGCTTTATGTGTGCATTAAGAAACTTCCAAGTCCAGAATGATGTGTGCTCCTCTCAGCATTGGAACCTTGTAATATGTATATAACATTCTAAGTAATTTAACAAGTTCACATCAACAACCCACACTCTCGTCATTTATATACAAAATGATTGAACCATGTGGAGCTTAAAATAGACGGAAAAGAGGGGGGAATAAGAAACTGGCAACATGTACATACAACATTAGCCACAATACTGTTGTTATAAGAGGAAACTAAAAGGATATATGACTAGTAACTAAGATAAACATGAATCGCAACATGCATGATGAAAGAAACGAATATGATTAAAATCTCAATTAAATTACAAGGAAAAAATACCTAGAACTAAGGGATCCAGGAATCCCAGCATTTCCTGTAGCTGATTCAGTAGTACGGCTATTCTCTTCGTCGGAAACATAAGCAACAGAGATTGCAGTATAAGAAGTCCGTTCTGGAGGATTGCTTCCAGAAGATCCCTGAGATGGCTGAGACAAATTTTGTCCAGTGCTTTGATTACGGTTTTGATAACGAACATAAAGAATAGGAAGTGTAGCAACACAACCAGACGCATAACCCACAATCCATGCAAATAATGGAGCTTTGGGATTTTCATTCCTGGATATTGACAAGACAACAATAGATGCTATGATCTGACCCACAGTGACAACAAGCTCAACAGAAATCCATAGTCCAGAATTCAGTGGGCTTCTTCTGTGATGACCATATCCCTCACCTCTTCTTGTCGATGAGGAATTGGTAGAGTTTAACCTGGATGATGAAGATGATGATGATTGGGGTGTGGGAACTTGCGTGCCAACTGATGGTTGATCTTCATCATGTGGCAAATGCAATTCACGATGTTGATCATCTTGAGTAGAGCTGGATAAGTCATTACTATTTCTTGTAATGTCAATTACGTGCTGATGACCACTGTGGGTTTCTGGCTGCTCCATCAGCAAAGGGTATTGATCAGTTTGGGTGTTACTATTTGGTCCGAGAGACGTAACATCCATGTATTTTAGTCAACCAAAGTAGAAGGCAATAAGGCAAAGAGTGGTAGCGACAAGGTTTCCAACCCTTAGCTGCCTTCTTGCAGTTTGCTTCCTGATCATGCATAAATCTACTCTAATATGCTGGGTGAAGAAAACCAAGATCCTTGCAGCACTTAAAACCGTACAATGTAAAAGAATTCCTGTCCTGTTTACATAATGACAGGAAGATAATGAATAGTTCATAGATTCAAATATTAATAATGCTCATGCGGGAAAAATACAAGAATAATGTTTCCGTTCATTTCCTATAAATTCATACAACTAACATGATGATAGTTAACTTTAGCTTACCAAAAACAAGAGGAATGTTATAAAATGAAAGAAAAATAGCTGTGTGAGTGATTTGGCCACTTTCCAACAACAGATCACTTCAGTGCTGCAACATGAAGTAGACCTCACTATCTAAGAAGATAATTTTAAAATTCCGAGTAAATAACTGGCAAAGGATCACAAAGACTTAGTAAGTGTGTGAAATCAGCATAAACTAAATGAAGAAACTGCATAAAGCTGTCATCAGTCATTTGAGAAAACTTCCTTCTAAACAGGCATAAAATTGACACAGTGAACTACATCTCGATGCTTATAGAAGAGGCACTGAAACAGAAAGAAAGACAATTTGAAAAAGTCTTTCTGTTCAAGCCAACTACTTAAAGTTATAAAACCTAATAAAATACAATCTATATTTCACAAGAGCACTCTTCAAATCAGCATTGCATCTATCTCACAGATGCAACACAACGACTTAAAATAATCACACATTCAGGCACATCAAACCGATTATCTCGAAACGGAATCTCAAAACAACACGGAATTATTCAAATTAAGCGAGAAAACATCCGAAATCAAGACAGCATGAAACCCAAGTGAGGAAAAAATAAATTATGTTCGTAATTTAAAAAGATAAAGTCGAGACATTTCTAGGTGGGGAAGTGTGGAGGAGAAAATCTGCACCTGATTCAACTGAAGAGTGAAAGAGAAGGCTTCGAAGCTCGGTTTCGTGTGTTTTCCTTCAGATTTCCCATTCCCTGAGGGAAAAGAAATGGCACTAACGTCAGCAAAATTTTGTTTTTCTTCTTGTGCTTCACTGCTTTAGGAAACACGCATCGGAAAGAGAAAGGGAGGTGGAACGTTTAAATCATTTGAGCTGTTTGTATGACGTGGAGATATGGTTACCGTCAGATGACAAGAAAGGTGTACCATAATGGAGAGATTAAATCCAACGGTGAAAAATCACTCGATCAGATATGACCTTGGAGCTATTGGGCTGGGAAACTTCGTGTCGGAGAATGGAGATTCTAGTTATTTCAGGGAGGAAAGAATTGGTCTGTGTATGGCGGTGATCATCAAAGCTGAATCAGACGAAGAAGCTTTCTATTTGCGGAGGAGAGATTATAGTGATTGAATGGTGTTTTGATGAAAGGATGGGTTGAACTCTGGTTTAGTTTCAGTTGGCAATGTATGAGGTGGCCGGCTGATTCAGCAAGCTCGGTTTCTAACCCATTTCACTTTGCTGAGAATAAATGTTCGTGCCACGCAATTGATGCAGGTTGCTTCACACAATTAACTCTTCTCTCACTCGCAGTTTAGAATAGTACACAAGATACTAGATGAACTCTTCTTTAGGTTACACTGAAAATTCTTTTCGGGTTTAGAAAGGTTAAGAAATAACCCTCTCGGCAAGTATACTTTTTAAGATTTAAACTTGTATTTTTTTTCTTATAGGAAAAAGCCGCTATCATCTCAATTAATGACTTGTTGATATACACAATGGACTCTTTGATGCTACTCCAACGAATCAAAAAACTCAACAATGTTGTTTCTTTTTTTTATAACATCAACAATGTTGTTTCTAATTCTACCCCCAGCTGTTTATGTCTGTTGTTCTCTCTTTGTTATTTTTTTTCCCCAGGTTTTATCTTAGGCTAGTTCCATCACAGCTAAAGGTGGGAAACAAATCAATCCGACTCTGTAGGGTTGGTCCTTAATGAGTTTAGGCTAAAAAAAAAAATCTAACTTGAAGAACCCGTTTACTCTAAATTTTTTATTCTTAGATATTTTTTAGTTCTATTATCGATACTAAGTAGCAGTCAAAAATTTGTATCCATTTTTTATAATATTATGCATGGATTATGTACATGATGGTAAATTCTTCATAAAAAATTGTATCTTCTGCCATAAAATATAATAAGTAAGATTTTGTGTTTACATAATCTTCTTCTGTATAAACAAATTATTCATCAAAATAATGAGCGGCCATTAATATTGATACATGTGAGATCACTGAATGTTCAATTAAATCCTTTTCCTTGTTGCTGGATAAAACATTAAAACCCTTTTTGTTGTGATTCACAACCCCTTAGCTTGCTGCATGGTATGGTAGGAGCTGGCATTCTACATTATATAAAGTTGACTCTCTTTTTTTTTATAAAAAAAAGGAGCTTCTAGGGATTTAACCTATTTTTAAAAACTTTTAATTATCGATGCCTTAATATTTTTGTAACTAGAATATCTCAAGAGAATTGAATTTAAAATATTATATGGAGGTTAAAATGAGTAATTGTACAAAAATGTTAGTTTTTTATACGTATGTGCAATAGCCACAATTGATGATAATGACAGTAATTTTATTTGATTACTTCATGGATACGGGGAAGTAAATTTTGTGATATATTATCTGTTATAATAATGGCAAATGAAAAAGTATTAGTAGATACAAACCTTTCACCAATCAACGTTTTTACATTAGTATATACCATGGCAGTGAGATTTAATTTTTCCAAGATACATACTGTTGGGGAGATAAATCTAAATACTAATAAAATAAACATATATCAACTAATTAGATCTAAAGTAAGAGGTTAATCTTTCACAATAAAATGACTCGAACTTAGTATTTAATCGGTCTCTCTAACCAAAAAAAAATCTGTCTCAAATAGGATTACCGCCGAATGAAACTTATGAGCAATAAAATAAAAAGTATTACTGTTATATATATATATATATAAAAAGACAGTACGAGTAATTTTCAACAGTAAGTCATTTTTTGAATGTTTAATCATGATGTTTGAAATAGCCAAGTAACTTTCAAAACGGTGTTTTGAAATTTAAGAGAGTTGTTGATGTTTGATGTAACTGTTTAGAGTCTGGATATCTATTTTTTTTTATTATTCGTTATATTGTTGACTTTTAAAAAAAAAAATTGAACGACCAACATGATTGACTAACTTAGTCAATAGAACGCAACAAACTAAATGGTTATTTGTTGCTATTTTCTTATTCATTTTAACGAACCAACGACTTATGATGACTATTTTAAAAGAGACATTACGAAATAGTCCTTTATATTTTACCCATTTTACGTTAAAATTAAATCCATTCTAATAAGTATGCTTTTCGGGATTTGAATTGGTGTTTTCATCTTTAGGGGGTGATGAGACTACTCACAACCAAAAGCTTCTTAGTTGAGCAGCATGAAATTTGATATAAATGGGATTATTCATGATTTATTAATTAATAGAAAAAAAAAAGTTTTTTATTTGGACATATGGAAACGCCGTTTTTGGAAGGACCAAAGTATAACAAACTGAAAACAACTCGTGTGGGCCTAGGGGCCGGGCCTTGCCTATATGGGCTACAAAGTTGATAATGGGCTTAAATCGGTTGCTTCACCCAAAAATCTAAGTATTTGTTACCTTTCATATATATTACCTCCGGTCCTTAATATAAAACCCCGTTTGACTTTTTATTTGGTCCTAATTAAAAGACCTCAATCTATTTTGTCTCTTATATTTATGTATTTTTTTTCAAGATAGTCCTTCTAATAATGATAGTTCTAGCCAATACACTTAATTAGCAATGATATTTTAGGAATGACAATACTTATTTATTACAAATAATTAACTTAACTTACTTCTTAATCTCTTCAAATAATCAACTGGGTCTTATAATTAGGACCGGAGGTAGTATATGAGAATAATAGTTGTTTTGATTTTTCAATTTGGCCATTCATATAAAGTTCCTCTTATCATCTATCCATCATGTCAGAGGCAAGTATACAACTTTTTCATAATTCAACCCCCAGTAAAATTGTTACGAGGAGAAATTCCTCCTATAAATCTTTCGCAATTAAATATGAGCATATTATTAGTATAATTTCTTTTTGTCAAAATTTAGGTGGACTAAATCTCAAAAACTCACCAAAGATCTAGCTAGGTTTCATAATTTAAAGAATACAAGTTATCTATTAATATTAATAAGATATTCTTGTTCACAATATGATTCGTACTACACTCTTACGTGGCATGAGTTTAAAAGGTATAAATTGAACCAATTTTTATTGGCACATTGATTTTACTCCCATAAATAACCTTTTCACAACCCTTTGCCTCAGTTTTAAAATTATTGATTATTAATATTATGATATTAAGTAATTTTGCTCCAATTATTTCATGTCATATGAGTGAAAAGCTTTCTTAAGAATTATTTTTCATTGAAAAAAAAAAGATGAATTGGATTTTGGAGACTTACCACTAAAACATGTTTTAATGCACCAACTTCTTACTTACTAAACCAACACTTCTTAAGAAGTATTTTTCCATTTATATTATACATGGTCTTTAATTTAAGATTTAACTGATTAATTTGAGTAGATTACAAAAAATTATTTAAGTTAGTTATTTCTAATAGATATGTAGGTGTTGTCTTCTCTAAAGTATTTTTACTAATCATATGTATCAGTTAGAACTACTATTTAACGAAGCATTTAACATGTGAAACTAGTATAAAGACTATCTTAAAAAATAAATAAGTATGAAAGATAAAATAGATTAAAATTTAAATTTTGAAAATTAAATTAAATACTAAACTAGCTCTTATTTTTTTTTGGGCTAATAAAACTAGCTCTTATATAAAAAATAGGAAATAATAATATTCAGTCTCCGAGTGAGTAATAAAGGAAAACGCGTAATGACATGGGGAAAAATCAGAGGGAGATGTGTGGGGCCTTTGTCTGAAATATCCGCGTCGTGTTCGCAAGGACGGTACACACATGGCAAGTGGAAAACACACTCCCCCGGCCCAAGCCCAAATCTGGGCCCACTTGTTTGTTTTTTGCAATCATCATTTCCTCACACGCATAACAGCTTCTTCCTCAATTATTTGTTTCCTTCCCAGTGTCGGCACTTTTTACATTCCTCTTCAAACCAATCCCATCATTTTTTTTCTTTTAATTATTTCTCAATAATTTATCAATATAACATTAAACACATTACCTCTTACATTATATATAGAATTTGAGAAATGAATCAAATATCGTTGGTAATTATGATAGATGTTAGATTTTGTTATAAGTTTTATATTTCATTTCCCAATATACACACACATGCATACACGATTGTATATAGGAGTTTGATTAACAACTTAACATCATGTGACCGTAATAAATTGTGTCTTTCTCCAACTATACAAATTTTCAAAGTTCGTATTTCCAATGCCAGTTTATTCGATCTGAAAAGAAAATCGTGATACTATCTGTTATTCAATTTGATATGCTTTCTGTTTGCAATGTTGTTGCTTGAACTGGATTCTGTACTGCTCTTTGATGTTGGAATGATCCATATATTCTACTTCGGGGAAGAAAAAAAGAAAAGGAAGAAATATCTTTATATACTACTACCTCCGGTCCTAATTATAAGAGTCAGTTGATTAATTTGAGGAGATTAAAAAAGTAAGTTGAGTTAGTTATTTTTCCTAAATAGGTATTATTTTTCCTAAAATATTCTTACTAATCAAGTGTATTGATTAGAACTCTCATTATTAGAAGGGTTACTTTGGAAAAAAAAATATATAAATATGAGAGATAAAGTGGATTGGGGGTCTTATATTTAGGACCAAAATAAAAGTCAAACAGGGTCTTATATTAAGGACCGGAGGTAGTATTGTTAAGAATTGAGCCTTTGAATTTGGCCCACCAACTACTAGTTTTGATGATTACAAATTACCTTCAAAATTATTTTAAATATATTTATTATTTAATGTGAGCTTCAGAGAAACAATAAAAATAAGGTTGTTGCCATGTGATCGAGTTCAGACCTTGAAAATCAATAGGGTTTAGGCGAGAAAGATC